TGATAATTAGTTGTAATTCTAATATTATCCAAATCCTTATTATATTACTAATTTTATTCGTAAACACTAATCATAGTTCTAATCGTAATCCTAATCATAATCCTATTCCTAACACTAATCATAAGCCTAATAATTTTAATACTAATAATTCTAATGCTAATGCTAATATTAATTCTAATTCTAATTTTAATCTTAATTATAATTCTAATCCCAATTCTAATGCTAATCATTATCCTAATACTAATGCATGTCACTAATTATCGTACTAAACATAATCATAATTTTAATTATAATTCTAATACTAATATTAATCATAATCCTAATATTATATTAATCCTAATTACAATCTGAATCATATTTCTACTATTAATACTAATATTAATTCAAAGAATCTTAATTATAATTATAATTCTAATACTAATATTAATCACAAATTCTGATTTTGCAACAATTTTTTTTTTTTGCAATGATCTATTATTTAGTATAATTCAATCTCGAACATTTAATATTTAATTATATTATCAAACTGACATTAAAATTATTTAAAATATTATAAGGGTATAAGCAACCGTTAAGACGTAAAAGAACAATAATCATTGTTAATAAGACAAATTATGAAAATCCTCATGAACTTAGGCTAAATTACAGAAAACACCCCCACTTATCGGTGATTACCAAAATCTCCCTGATGTTTGTTTTTGTCTTACACGACCCCTTATGGTGTGATTTTTTTACTGAATCTTTTTTATTCCATGTAATGTCCCAAAAAATATGGAGTCTACCCTTACAGACGTGACATTTCTTTTATCGTACTTTATAAACTCAAAAATTACTCTCAGGGGTGGTCATGGTAATAATAAAAATTTGTGAAAGTATTATTTAAGAAGAATAAAGATTTTGTGTAAAGTTCACATGAGGGTAATTTTTGTTTTTAAAAAGTACCATAAAGAAATGTCGTGTGTGCATGGTATAATAAGCATTATTGGAATATTCCACGTAATAAAAAAATTACTTGACAAATCATACCATAAGGGGGTCGATGTAAGACGGAAACAAACATTAGGGGAATTATTAATATAAACTATTTATGGCAAGAGCACTTCGAGTGGGATTATTAAAGGAGCTATCAAAATATTTAACCACCATTTTTATACTCCAAAATAGTAATTTTTAATTCTAATAGAGTTATGAAATGATGTATTTTGATACTTCATCTTTCAGAATGTAAAAATACATTATGCAATCATGCAGAATAAAATATCAAACATGAGTTATGAATTTAATCACATCAGTGTCCATTTAGAAAATAACATGTGGCAATAAGATATATTTAATTAACAACTATTTAATAACTATGGTTGGAGCAAATACATTTAGATAAATATCAAAATAAAATATTAAATAGCACATAAATATTTGCAAACTCATTTTGATACTTTTGGGTTGGAGTTGCTATAAATATTTACTTAATTATATTTATTAGAGTTATAATGAAATACTTATTAGTGGAATACATTATATATTATATACGACCATTATACATTTTAAACAAAATAATTGATATTCTTAATGTTAGCCATTAAATAAAGTGGATAAACGAATTTAATACCAATGATTTAGAATTTATTATATTTTGAAATATATAAAATCAATTCGTTTATTTATCAATTGATTAAACTTAACTTAAGTTATTCAATTTATTAGTATAATCATGATAAGATTTGTATTTTAATTAGTATATAATTTAAAAAGTTAAATCAATCGTAAAATTTATTGTTACTGAACTCAGTGAAGAAAAAAATAATTATTTAAATAATAACATTAAATTCATGTAGTATAATTTTCAATATGGTAAATAATTGGGAGTACATTACTCTACACATGGCATAACAAATAGTGTCAATTTTCGCAAGATAGTAAATTCAAACATGTATCTTTCTTTTTTACAGATAATATTAATATATAATATTAAATTAGTAAAAAATTATTCTCTAGTCATGTTCATTTAAAATGTATAATATCAAATAATTTATTCTGAATATTTTTTGTTAATAAATTCAAGTTTATGAATTAAAATTAAAAAAAATCGTAACACCACCAATTATGCAATTATAATAAGGGAAGATTTTAAATCGAATTTAAATAAATTCAAATAAAATTAAAAAATAAATTTATTTAGGGTTTCTAAGAAAGTTGATATATTTAAAGCATTTTATAAATGGTAGGATATAAATATATTAATAAAATAATTAAATATATTTAATTACCTTTAATTTTGGAAAATGATGACATGTTTTTTGATGATTTATTTCCACCAATTAATTCGCCACTTGTGATGAAATTGAGGACATGTCATCAATTGAAATTGACAAATGTCAATCAATTAGCTATGGAATTCAACTTTTATATATTATATAGATTGATGATCAATATATATATGTTTCCTTTTCACTTAATTCACTTTTATAGGATGAGGATGGATTTTTTCACCCAGTTAAAAAGTCTTTGGATGGGTGATCGATCGATCTCATTGGATCAGCCAGCCGACAAAAAAAGTAAAAAAGAAAACATCCGGCTACGAGGTTTCAACTTTCCTCGAAAATATAATGCTCACTTTTTCTTTTTCTTTTTTCCAATTTCAGTCATCTTGAAAATATTATTTGATCACAAATTTGAATTTATTTAGCTGTGGTCCAATCAATCGTTTGTCAACAATTTAACTGAAAGAAAAAACAATTATTCTTCAAAACTGTAGGCGACAGCGTAATGGGCTTATTATCCAATTTGGACCAAACTAAAAAGCCCATTAGTTATATCCAATGTTAAACGAAGCCCATCCCAACAAAACCACTCCCGCTCCATCTTCACACCCACCTGCGGCGGCTGACGGCTCCTCTTAAGCTTATACGTCGGAGTCGGAATCGGAATCGGAGACCACACCACTACGGTAAACCATATTCTTAATCTTAGTTTTTCTTCTACTTGCTTTTTCACCATAACAAAATCTCAATATATTTATGGTCTCCTTTTCTTACAAATATTTATTATTTTGTTTCCAGAGTATATATCCTACTAAATTGGCACACTACACACCTTTCAACTCCTATTAAGAGCTTGGAGAAATGGCGTACCAAGGGAGCAGCTTGAAATCAACCTCCATAAACGGAGTAAAGATGTATACAATCGCCGCCCAAAACCGCTCACTTGCTACATGGCTACCTCCTAAGAAGCTTAGAGCACTACGCAAAAATCCAGGTGATTTACATGTATTAGGGTTTTGCTTAAGTTGTTTTTATCGTAGGTCAAGTTTTATATTTTTCGTTAAAATACTTTTGATGAATAATAATGATGTGTTTGTTGTTGATCAATTTTCAGATTATTTGCAGAGACTGGAGTTGGTACAGGATTTGAGGTTTGAGACCTCAACGTCTAGAATTAAGGTGACACCCGATGGAGAGTATCTCATAGCCTCAGGTGAATGTTCAATTTGACATAGACCTAATATTGTTGGACAAGTTGTATTTTTTTGTGCTGAGATTCTGTTTTCAGGCATTTACCCTCCACAAGTCAAAGTCTACCAGCTTGGGCAGTATTCACTCAAGTTTGAAAGACATTTGATTTCCGAAATTATTAACTTTCAGGTAATTTTTTCTTATACTTTCTACGAGTTGAATGTTATGACTGTAAGTATTAATACCCCTGGATTTACTTGCTATCCATAGCTGTTTAATATACTAACCTAATCTTCTAAGTTGCAGTGTTGTTTCTGTGGGGATTTGTTAAGATAAATTTAAGTGTGTTTCTCTACATTTTTTGTTTTTATGATTTGTAACATATTAAATTTTCCTGTCAATAGATATTAGATGATGATTATTCAAAGATCGCATTTCTTTGTGCTGATCGTTCTATCTGCCTTCATGCGAAATATGGGAGTCACTACAGTTTGCGAATCCCAAGGTAGCTCTCTAAATTTCTTTTGTTTCACTAATACACAAAAAACACTTATCTATTGTATATGTAATTATTGGAATCAAAGTCTTATTCAGCATGTTTTCAGAAAACATTAGCATTTATTGTTCTTTATAATTTGTTGTACCATTCTTTGGTTCTCTCTGTAAGAGTACACAATGCGATACTAAGACAATCAATTTATAAGATGTTGTTTCTGGAAATTATATAGGGATAGAGTTCCATGTGGTTACCTTTCTTATCTGTTCAGTTTCGTATGATTGGGGCTGTTATAGGTTTGTTGATTTTAAGTAACCATTATTTGTTTCTCTGCTGTAATAGGGTTCAGGTATTTAAGATTTTCTATTTCACATTCTTCTGCATTGCGGTTTTGATATTTTTGTGAATAAAATACTATATTAAATTGAAGATTTTATACGAATAAATCTTCTTATAATTTTCTTTCATTCCTTTCATCAGAACTACTTACATTAGTACGCAGTAGGTTTCCAATAAACTGTAGATTTTGTTTTGAGGATATATTATAAAAGCTTCCAGACTTTGTTAATTTTATGTTTTTAAAAATCATCTATACTAAATTGGCCTGTGGCTGGAGTTATGGCTTTTATTTTTACATCTTCGCCTGTTTCATTAGCTATGCGGATGCCAATCAATAAAGCACCCAAAACGTGGATACTCTTTTCCTGAATTGTTTTTTGTAGGTAATATTATGGTGTCAGTTTCACTATAATCTTACTCATTCCTTTTTGAACAGGATGGGACGAGATATTGCCTATGACAGCTGGTCTTGTGATGTTATTTGTGCTGCTTCTTCTCCAGATCTATATAGGATAAATTTAGAACAGGTTTGTCTTTCTGCTAACTGTTGTTGCTTTCTTGTTTGGAAATGATGAACATGACTATTACATCCATACTCATTCCCCTCGCTCACCATGCATTGGCAGACAGCCTCTATGTTGACAAAATTCATTCACTTTTATTTGTTTCGTTAGTCTTACAATGGGAGGTGGTTTACTTGAAAAAAACCTGCCACTATAACTTTCTTGAGCTAATAATATATTTGACAGGGACGTTTCCTATCCCCTCTTAGCACGCAATCACCAGCTTTGAATGTAGTGTCCAGAAGGTTGGTTACACTTGGTTTTCCTTCTATTCGAATTTTATGCTTAGTAGCATTGTTTTTACTTTTTTTTTTTTTTTTTTTTTTTTTTTTTTTTTTTTTTATGTTGGCATGCTGGCTTACATCTGTAACAACATGATTTTTTTCTCCAGCAAAGTCCACGGATTAGTTGCTAGTGGTGGTGAGGATGGAGCTGTGGAATGCTTTGATATCAGGACAAGGTCTTCAGTTGGTCGAATAGACGCTGTTGCATCTGCTGGTGACATTGACGCGGTAACAAACTCATTTTTCCCCCCAATGGCCTCTTTTTGAATAATAAGCTCTCATTAATGTCTAATTTTGCAAATGGATCTGCTCTATCGATGAAATCATAATTATTATGTGATTCTTTCAGGAGGTTACTGCAATTGAGTTCGATGAAGGTTATCTCATGGCTGTTGGAAGCAGTTGTGGGAAGGTATGCTAGAGTGACCCCTATTTTCTGTTCATTGTCACCATATTGCCTCATCTTTTCTTTTTGTTGTGCTTTGCAAATTCTCTAGGTTATATCATATCAATAGTATGAAAATAAATACCTCATTGTTGAGGAAGTGCCACAGTTGCAGCACCTGTGCAATGCTTCTTATGCTTCTTTTAGACCAAGTGAATTTTAAATGCAGTAACTACTCTCTTTGACCAATGAAAAGAACTATTTTCAATTCAGTTACTACTTTCATCCCAAAACCAAATTCTAAATTCTTTTTCTAGTATATACTGGGAGATAAGTGCATTGGTACCAAAATGTATGCTTTGAACATTAGCGGGTAGTTCTTTGATATTTAGCATCCAGATCATCAAGATTGCAGTTTGCACTTTATACACATGTCGGTGAGGCTGTCAAGTATTGAGAAATTGAATTTTATTTAAGAGTAGTGGTATTCAAAAGCCTTATCATTATTAGCAAGAACATTATTGGAATGTGCACAAATGTGGTCATGCAGGGATAAGATAACGAGATATTTCAGAAAACGGGTTTCTGAAAAAAGTTAAATTCCTATAGGAACTGTGTATTTGCCTATTTTATGTTTATCCCATTTTGATGCATGAGATGCTACAAGACCAAACTAGTAATACTTTTCCAATTTCATGTAAAATGCAGGTTCTACTATATGATTTGCGCTCATCTAATCCTATGCGAGTAAAGGATCACATGTGAGTTGTCAGCTTAATTATGTGGAGAGTGATTTTTTTTGTTACTTATATAATTCGTGATTATTTCTTAGGCAATTCGTCTCTCTTTTGCAGGTATGGTAGCCCAATTCTAAACATTAAGTGGCACAAGACACTAAATTCTCAGCAGTCAAAATTAATCACTGCAGATAAACACATAGTCAGGATTTGGGACCCTGAGACGGTGAGAAATTCTTTGTATATGTTTGAATTGCTTATCTGATATTCTGCTTCTCCTTTCAGTCCTCACATTTTATACCCATGTCCTTTTCAAATTAAGCCTTGATGAAGATATATAAACTATTAAGAGTTAATGCACCTGGATACGAGGTGTTTTTGTTATCCTTTTTTCTTTTTTTTTGCTCATAAACATATTAGTTTTATGAAATAAATAATATGAATATGTTCAATTGCCGATAATTATTTCTCCTATCTCAGTTGCAATTATTTGTCAAAAGTATGTAACGTCCACTTATGAAAATGGTTTTTAATGTAACTTCGTACTTATTAGATGCTTGATAGAATTCCCTCAACTAGTGATTTTCCAAATAGTGATGGACACATTACGAATAATTGTCTCTTGTCACCCCAGAAAGGATTAAGCGTAGATATTTTTAGTTTACCAAATTCTTTGGAATATTGGGAGTTCAATTGAGTTGTGCTAATTTCAGGGAGAAGGTATGACTAGCATTGAACCGGCTGGTGGCAAAATTAATGATATATGTGTTTTCAAAGAAAGCGGATTAATTTTGTTGGCTCTGGACAGTAACCAAATACCATCTTACTTCATACCGGCCCTTGGACCTGCTCCAAAGTGGGCTGCTAATATAGAGAACTTAACGGTATGTTATTTTATGTGCTTGATCATCATGACGAGTAGATAATCTTTATATAATTCTTAATTTTTACATTGATTTGTGGCTGTACAGGAAGAGCTTGAAGAAGATGGGCAAACAACTATTTATGACGATTACAAATTTTTGACAAAGGAGGACCTGGCGAAACTAAATTTGACTAGTTTGATTGGGACAAATCTTCTAAGAGCCTATATGCATGGTTTCTTTATTGATTACCGGCTATATAAGAAGGTAATAATATCTCTGTTACTTGAAAATAAAAACACTCCACTAGCAGCGCTTTAACTGGCATTTTTTAAATCCTGCCCATCTTGCGAGTTTGGACTTATTCATTTGAAATTCTATGGTGAATTCTGGGGCTGGACATAATTATTAATACACCATTGTCTCTGTTTACGCAGGCTCAAAGTTTGGCTGATCCTTTTGAATATGACACTTATATAGAGAGGCGAAAGCAGGAAAAGTCAGAAGCTGAGCGTGCCTCGAGAATTACGGTTCGTTCTGTTACATATG